GAGAGAGAGAGAGAGTTCCCTTACAATTACTGAGGAATGACTTGTTCGCCTTGTTATCTGCACTTCCATCAGTACCTTTTTATTGCCTTCAAATTTTCTTTCAAAGGAGGTTCCAGATTTCTATTTTATCGAGTTCATTTTTTTTGACTTGTATTTGTTCACTAGATGGGAAAAATTGAATAATGTTTCTCCTTTTTTTTTTTTCGACAAACCCTGATTAAAATTTCGAACTTCAAGTTCTCCCAACTTTGTGAACCCTAATTTCTCTTCTTTCATCATGACATGGCTTCCTCATCTACAAACTTTCTTTTGACACCTAACTTGATCCCTAATATGGTCTCTATTAATTTTGGACTCTTACCAACTTCATAATGTGGAAAAATCAAACTGTTCTAATTCTACATGGGCTAAGACTAATGGGATATCTTGATGGAACTTGTTTCCTCCAAAATTCATTGAGAAATAGATTGTTCTGGTAGTTGGTGTAAACAAGATGAAACTAGTCTCTAACCCTGACGGTGAGAAACTGATATGCCAGAGACTGGTCATTAATAGACTCGATCAATTTCATTGCTTCCAAGACATTGTATTCCAAGTGATAGGTGTTCGCTCGACCAAAGAGTTGTGGGATCTCCTTTGTAAGCTTTACTCTCAGTCATCTAAGGCGAGCTTGATGCATATCCGCTGTCAACTCTAGCAATGCAAGAGAGAGTTGTTCTATTACTGAGTACTTTATTAAAGTGTGATCAATCATCTGTCGTTGGTGATGAGGTCAGCGATGATAATAAGATACTCTACCTGCTTGGAGGATTATGTGAAAATATGTCATGTTCGTCACATTGATCATGTCTAGACCATCTACATCTGACTTGAATGAGCTTTGCCCTCACTTCTTGCAACATGGCTTTGTTTAAGAATTATCATTGTAAATTGAAAGAATGTGTTCGTGATGTTTTAAATATGGAGTCTTACAACTCCAAAATTACTACTAGAGACCATGGAAGGCATAGACCTATAAGAGAGGCAGCCCTATTTATGATGCATGCTAGTAGAGTTCCCAGATCTATGTCGAGTGAGGCTTTCCTTAATACGGTATATGTTACTAATTGCTTGCCTTCCCTGGAACTAATGGAAAGTCACCATTCTTTTTTCTTCATCAAAGACACCTGGGTTATAGTAGACTACGGGTTTTTGGATGCTATGGTTATGTTCATGTAGATTGAAGTCAAAGGGATAAATTGATGCCAAAAGTTGAAATGTTTGTATTCATGGACTATCGCAATATGCATAACGGATATCACCACTACTGCCCAAGAACTTAGGAAATTTTGATTTCACAACATATGCCCTTTGAAGAGAACTCAATTTCTTCTCCGAAACTTTCAAAATTTGATGGAGAAGATATTCAAGTCGTCTGCCAAGTGCCTAAAATTGATTCATCCTTGTGTAGTTTTGCTAACAAATGTGCTTTGAGCTTGTCACATGATTAACCACTATCTTGCTGAAGTTGTTCATCAGAGAAAGATCGAAGTACAATCATCAGAGAAAGATCGAAGTACAACACATGACAAGTATAACAACGAGTTGATAGTCTATCAAAGTACAAAGAAAAGGGAGCGCGGCCCATGGAAGACATCCTACGTATGGGATTGTGCATCGAGAAGTAGAGACGAATGGGGGGGAGCCTGACACATTCTTTAACACTCAAGAATGATAAAATCAAGAATGTAGTATCTTGCAGTATTTAGATGTTGGGGATCAATGAACTTGTGATCAGCCTGCACTTGACATCCAATAGAAAGGTAGGTAAGTTATGAATATCCTTTTGTTGAACATCAAGTTTTCTTAATAGAAATTTTGAAAGAGCATAGGCCCAGATCCTATGAAGTGTTAGTGAAGAATGTAAGAGGGCTTATAGTTGTTGGAAATGACTGTTATTATGAATCGTTTTGAAAATCAGAATCGCGGAATTGCGGGTGGCCAGAAGATTCCTATAGTCGGAATTTCCATCCATGCAATACATATCACATGAAGCATGATTCCTACCATTTAAGAATCACACTCCGATCCCTAAGGAATTGATATTCTTAGCTTGTTGGAGTTATAGTCCCTTCAACTTGGAATCGAAATTCCTAACTTACGTTATCACACTCCAGACCATTTGGAACCAGGTTAGAAATTATCAAGAAACGATTCGAAAAGGCAAAAGATTTATGGTTTTAAATTATGTATAAGGAAGAATTCTGTAGTATTGGATTCCATATATTGAGTACGCTTACCCAATGCTCTCCCATTATTGGAATTGGTGTCTTTGTGGCCCCACCCTAGCATTAGAATCGATGTATTGAGTGCCTTTATCATTGTTCTCCACAAGTATTGGAATCAAGGTTGAGTACTTTTCTAGGAATGATCTAAACGAGAGTTTGTCGGCATTTATAGAGTTTCCAAATACCCATGGTATATTAATTATTGATAATTTTAACTAACAAATTATTTTTCAAACTTGCCAATCATGGGCAGTAGTTTTTTCTACTGTGATACCAAAGTGCTAGAACCATTTTCATGAATCTAGTGCTCATGGAAAGACCGAACAATTCAGATAGATCAACACGTTGTAAGAGAGAAAATTGAAGTCAAAGAAATAGTTGCCAAGTGTGTTGAGACCGATGGATAGGCAGGTAGCAAACATGTTAGAGAAGGATTGACCAAGCAGAGCATAGACTTTTAAAGGGCAAGCTGTCCATGATTGTTGCCGATGTACAATTGAAGGGGTGTATTAAGGATATGATGTTTGGGGACATATTTATTTTGTACCCATGTGTAATATTTCGTATTGCCATGGGCATCTACGTATTATTAAGAATATAAGGAAGTCCAAGCACACAATGAGTAGCCTTGGACGATCCATTGCAGATTCAGCCACTCTCCACTACTCATGCATAATCTCTATCTTATTTTCTTTCATGTGTCCCATTAAATTTTAATTTGTTTGAACGAAAGTGGTCTGTCATACTTTTGTTAGAATTTTTTTTCATTTGATTGATGGGTTTGAAACCTTGAGGAATATGGACCAAACCTCTTACCTTTGAAAATTATATGGATAATAAGTTAGTGTGAGATAAAACTTGTTTCCACCAGGGTATCTTACCTTGATAGTTGGGGGGAAATGAATTAGGAGAGGATACCTGTTTTCCTTAGTGTTGCTTGAACACCTTGTTTTGCTTGTGTTTTCGAGAAAAGTGTTTCTTATATTTTGAAGGTTTTGGCACCTCAAAATTTCTTTTTAGTTTTGTGACACTTTTAGAAAATGTTAGAATTGCACAGAACTATTAAGATTTGAATACAAATTATCACTTAATTATTTTTTGGTTAGTAAAAAAGATCGATATGACTAAGGGCCTTTTTGATATCTGGCATCAATTGCAATTAATCCCATCTTAAAATTTACTACCGTCAAATGAGCTTAGCGTAATTTTTTATTTCCACCACCTAAAACGTTCTGGCTAGCAAATTAACTCCGAACTATAATCCTCAGAAAAATAAGTTAAAGTCTTATTTTATAAAAGATTTCAAATGGCATTTGCCAGGGATGACCATCTAAGGTAGGAAAGAGCGTGAGCCTGTAGTCTAAGTTCTCACATTTGCTCCATCTCTCTCTCTCTTTCTGTATAAGTCCTCACATTTGCTCCTTCTGTCGCTCTCTCTCCATCATCATCATCATCATTAGAGCCTTATCCCAACTATTTTGGGTTCGGTTCTTGATCCCAATTCCCAAAATCTCCCTAGAGTTCAAGCTTTTTCCTTCTAAGCCAAACCTCTATGGCTTTGTCCCTAAATCAAGTTTTTTTTTTGCCATTAATGGACCTTAAGCAGCTTGCTTCGCCACAAAAGCCCTATCTTCTCTTTCCCATGGTTCCCTGACATTTCGCCTTACAAATGTCCTCTTTCTGCGATTAATGGACCTCAAGATCTTGGTTCTTCTTCCAAATTTCTCCCTTTTGTCTCAAAAGCCAATTTTCTGGCATGTTTCAACCAAAGTGAATTGGGTTCATCAGCTTTAAGATTCACAAAGTCAGATGAGAAGGCGAGATTTGTGCTTTTTGGCCCTGGTTGGCTGGTTGTTCATAAAAGGGTTGAATACTGATCCTTATGACGTGGTTACTATATCTCCAACAAATTCTATGGTTTTTACACCTCTCTGGCCTTGGACTTGTGTTGGTAAAATGGAGTTTGAGTCAGTTGCAGGGCCCATTGGGAGAATCCAGCCTGCTATCTTGAAAGCATGGAAGTCTTAATTCTTCAAATTGCCATTTATAAGCATGTTTCAAATTAAATGTTTCTCTCTCTGTATTTCAGCTGTGAATTGATGTGTCAGCCCTTTAGAAGCTCTGTTATTTGATGTTCATATCTGAATTAATTTAATAGCATGATCGATGCCTTGAGGCCTTTTGAATGAGGCCTTCAATGAGCTCCAAAGGAATTGGAATGGTGTCTGTCAGGTTCTATTAGTGGAGCTGGTTATTTGAGGCCCTTGAAAGTTTCTATCAAGGGCTGCCCAATG